ATAATCATGTGCTTATTTTTTTAAAGGTCAAATAAGCCTCACATCAAATACGTGTGAAGCCATTTAAAAAACAAACAATAAAACTTCAAAGTACTATAAACATTATCTGTATTGTTGCTACTATTATTTTTCCTTCCTGCCTTGGATTTTTGTTCTAGGCAAAAGTTCAGATAACTTTAAGGCATGAATACAACTTGGGAAGGGCCAATAACTAATTCTAAGATAACCCCAAACACCCAGCAAATGAGGAGACAGGCAGGAGCATCACAAGTTCAAGGTCAGCCTTAGCAACTTAGTGAGACCTTGTCTCCAGATAAAAAAGAAAAAGACTAGGGTTGTAGCTCATGGGTGTAATGCCCCTGAGTTCCAACCCCAGTACCACAAAATAAATAACCCAAAACAAAAAACAACGCCCCAACTAAATCTTATTTTAAATGTTAGCATAATCAAAATTAGTTTAGAATCTGAAAATAAAGCCTAAAGCAAACGATGTTACTGGAAGATATTAAATCTTTATCTCCTTGAGATTGCAAGGACTTTGATTCCAAGCACCCAAGAACAGGACCAGTGTTCCCAACACCAAAAAGTCAAGTCTATTACATTTACTGTTGCAAATGACTGCCATAAAAACAACATAATAAGAGCTGGGAGCGGTCACATTCCTGTAATCCCAGTGGCTCGAGAGGCTGAGGCAGGAGGATCACAAGTTCAAAGCCAACCTCAGCAACAGAAAGGCACTTAGCAACTCAGTGAGACCCTGTCTCTAAATAAAATACAAAATAGGACTGGGGATGTGGCTCAGTGGTGAAATGTCCCTGAGTTCAATCTCCAGTAACAAAACAAAACAAAACAACAAACAAAACAAAACAAAACAACAACAACAACAACAACAACAACAAAAACGCCAAAATAATAAATATTGAATTTATGGACTATGTAAGAGGGAAGTACCTGGGGTCTTTAAACTTTTTGTTTGTTAATATAGCACATTCATTTTAGAAAGTTTAGAATACAGAGCACAGAAAACATAAATTTATTTAAAAAAAATGATCGTAACTCCTAATTACATTGTTCTTAGATAACTGTGGTTGACAATTGTTGATAGTTTTTCCAATTTTCTTTCTCCCTCTCTTTCTTTCCAGTGCTAGGGAGCAAATGCAAGGCCTTACTGATGTTGGGTAAGTGCTCTACCACTAGCTATACCCTAAGCCCCACACATATTTTTGTTATGAGCAGTACCATTGTAATGGGTGATAGCGCAATGGATGACAAACCCAGGCCAGGATGTAAAATAAACTATAAGAACACTGTCAAAAGAGTTAGTGCCTGGGAAAGGGAGAGTTCTCCTCCCCTTTCTTGTCAACCAATCTTCTGGGAACCTGATTATCACCACCCACCCTTACCTTTTGGGCTGTAAATGACTTCTCCTAGGATCTAAGTTCTCCCCTTCGAAGTGTAAACACCCCTGTGGAGGCTCAGGCCGAAGGCTAGAGATTTATGGAAGGCCTTGCAAGAGGAGCCAGTCCTTCTCCTTATCATGCTCTGCTTCTGTAACTATGCACAACCGTTTATCAGGGAGATTAGAAAATTTATGACACTAGGGACTGGGGATATAGCTCAGTTGTTAGAGCACTTGCTTAGCATGCACAAGGCCCTGGGTTCAATCCCCAACACCACACACACACAAAAAAAATTATGACACCAGATAACCTATAAATATTATGAAAAACTGGTGATGGGTGCTTAGAATTTGGAGTCTGATCGCCTCTGGGCCTGCCGGGGTAAAATAAAGTTGGAGTTCTCCCACTCCCCAAGTGCCATTTGCCGCTTCTTGACTGATTTCTGTAACACAGTAACATTACATAACATTTCAAATGTGGTTTTTACTATCATTTTCAAAAAAGATCTTTTAAAGAATCTGAATTTATCTCCAAAGTAAATATTTTTCACCCAGGTATTTTCCTAAGAACCCAAGTTCAAAACCCTGCATTACTCTAGTCTCCTCCCCAACAGTAGGAAGTCAAGTCTGAATTGATTTTAATTCTGAACCAGGACAAAATGTTATCACAGCATCCCATTACTTCCTTCCTCTCTACGCCTGTTCTCATGGCCCTAGATTATTGAAGTACTTCTATGAATTGTCTCCTCTTTAGTTTCTCTTCTGTATAATCTGTTTCACTTCTTTAATGTTTTATTATCCTGCTCATGGAAAGAGAAAAAATATACATATATGTATTTATTTATTGACTGACTCTAAATTCTGTGGCAGAAATTCCAAACTAGAACTCCAAGGCAGAATATAATCTGCAAATTTGCTGTGTTGCAATTCCACAGTGTTCTTTTTCTTTCTTTTTTTTTTTTTTGGTACTGGGGTACTCAGCCACTAAGCCACATTCCCAGTCCTTTTTAAAATATTTTATTAGAGATAGGGTCTCACTGAGTTGCTAAGTGCCTCACTAAGTTGCTGAGACTGGCTTTGAACTCGCAATCCTCCTGCCTCAGCCTCTGGAGCCACTGGGATTACAGGTGTGTGCTACTGCACCAGGCTCCACAGTGTTCTGAGCATTACTTTTTGATTAGCTGATCTGTTAATGGGTGTTAGCTTCATGGATTTTTGTTACCTGCCTGGCCTCTCTCTTTAAGCTATCAAGTGTAGCTGAGCAGCTTTTACATTTTTATAACTCCAGGGGGCACTGTGTGTGCAACATCGCCTAGAGTTGTACAGTGCAGAACCTGTGCAATAGTTCTACCCAAAGTCTCTGCTAAAGCCTGTAGAGGTTAGAGGGAACCCTAATGCTAAAGTATGTGAAACATTTGAAGTTTTATACTTTTATAGGAATGAGGAAGAAAGTTGACCTCATCTACCACAATGACTAATCAAGCACACGCCATCCCAAGGCCTAGAGAAGAAGGCTGACATTCCTAAAAGCTTTCCAATCTCAGATAAACCATGAAAAACAAGAACATTCAAAAAGCCTTGAATTCCAAGATAAGCCATAAAGTTATTTTTTTTTAATAATTCAAAGGACAGAAACATCTTGCTTTTCTTTTTATCAAAAACGACACACAAAAAATTATCTGGTTGGAGTTGTTGACCACACATAACAACTTATCTCTTTTGCAAATGCAAGTTAAAACTCTAGTCAGTTCTCAAAATTGTGTGTGAGTTTTGCGGAATATATTATAAAATTTCGTAAATCCTATTCTAAACTCTTTTCAATGCAGACGCTATGTCCCCAAACATTCTCCTTTGCATAAATATTACACTCCTGACAAACTGATTTATTTCGCCACTAACATAAACTTCACAATTCTGTGTTGAATTCCTACTTTCCTGGATCTTCTGGGTTTTTTCCCTCTCCTCTTTCCCTACATACTGTTATGCTCGAATTCGGGACCCCCAAAGATCACCAGAGACCCAAGATGGATGCAAGCAGCTAAGAGGTGTTTATTGCAAGCTAGCTCGGTCCTCTGCACACACACACACAGCAACTGGTGACGCTGAGAGGCCCCGAGCCCAGGGTTTGCAGCAGTTTTATACATTCTTTGGAGAAGGCAGGGACTTCACATACATCATAGCATCTCTTAGCAAATCATCACACACCGAGGGAAAATCAAATAACAACTCTAAAACATGATTAGCACATTCACTGGCTGGAACAAGTTGGGAGGGGGGATTGGTCACTACAAGAGGGGGATTCATTTAAACTGATTGGTTTAAACCATGAGGATGTCGCAAGGGGAGTACGTGCCAAACTGCAGGGCTTCTAGTTTAGATACTGGTCACCACACCTAGGTGGAAGCCATCTGGAATTTCAGATATGTGGTTATCTTGGCCTATCTGCGGCTTTTCCTGAGAACTGTTTCCACAGAGCTTTTCTGTAGTTTTTTTTTTTTTTCCTGACTCTAGGACTACAACAAATCAGAGGTTAAGTTTCAGAGCAAAATAAGATCCCAAGCAGAATGAAATTGCTTAGGTCTTTCAATATGTCCATTCTTCGAGGCCCATTTCAATGCCACTTCTTTCCCAAAGCATTCTGGAGATAACTTAGTTTCCCTCCTTTTTTTCCTCTAACCTCTTTCTGTCATTATAACCTACCTTATCATTTATTTGACACTGTAAATTCTCTCTTTTATATATGTTTTTTTCATAATTATCTTTCTTCTTATAAAAATAAAACTTGTTTAATATAAAATGCAGAAAATATAGAGGAGTAGAATAAAATATTGAATCACTTGTAGTAACAATAATGATGAAGAAAAAAGTTACCTGAATATTTATAGACTCTTGGGATAAGGCCTAAGGCCTGAGGTCTGAGGTTAAAAGATATAAATATTGGTTGGTGGTACGTGCCTATAATCCCAGCAACTTGTGAGTCTGAGGCAAGAGGATCACACGTTCGAGGTCAGTCTGGACAGAAGGGAAAGCGAGGAACCAGAGACGGATAAGCGAGAAATGAAAGACAAAGACTAGGCAGAGATACACACAAGAGTTTATGTGTCAGAGTTGACAAATAATGGCCATCTGTCTATAGCAGAGAGAGGCAAAACAGGCTTGGGTTCTGGGACTTTTATGGGGCAGGTTCAGGAATCAGAGCTGGGCGGGTCCTAATGAGGGTGGTTAGGGCTTGGGTTGGTATGAGGGAGTGGTGAGCCTTTCTCAGAAACGCCCTTGGGTAGGAAAGCGAAAATTTTATCTTAAAATGGTGGCTGTCACTTAAGATGACCGTCCAGATGGTAAGCAAGGACCTTATATGGACAACATAGAAAAGCCCTGACTCAAAATGGGAAAAATAAATAAATAAATAAAAAGGGCTGGGAATGTAGCTCAATGACAGAATGCTCCTGGGTTAAATCCCCTGTACTGGGGGTGTGGGGGGGGGGGAGATTTAATAAATCTTAAATTGAGAAACAATAATCCAATTTTGGTAAAACTGTTACATTTCTATATTCATACAATAAAATGTGAGGAATCTTTTGTTTCTTTTTCTTTTTTTCAGTGCTGGGAAACAAACCAAGGGCTTTGTACATGTGAGGTAAGCCTATTATCATTAAGCTCCACCTCAGCCCTGAACAACTGAGCCACATTCCCTCCCCAGCATTTATTTTGAGACAGAGTCTTGCTAAATTGCTTTGAGCCTCACTAAATTACTACTGCTGGCTTTGAACTTGTGATTCTCCTGCCTCAGCCTCCTGAGCTGCTGGGATTACAGGCCTGTACATTGCACTCAGCTGCTGGATAGGTTTTTAACTTTCAGAAATATGCAATGAAATTTGATGGACTTCAAAAGTGGCTGATTTCCTTATTGTTAGCATAGGAAAAAAAAAAAAAAAAAAAAAAAAAAGTCCAGTCTCTCCAGGCCTTGAAGAACAATAGCAGGACATGCCTGTAAAGTATTGTTCTGAGAGGGTAAAATTGTGTAGAATGCTGATATCATAGAAATCAACAGTATAGAGACATTGGTTCTAGACAGCATTTGACCATTTTCTGGCAAGAAAATAATGGAAATTTTGTGTGAATGTTGGAAATGGAATTAGTAAATGATAGATGAGTTAATTACTATTCTTTTAATCTTAGAGCAAAAGAAAAACCACTGGACTGGCTTTTAATACTCTGAAGAAATCTACCTTATTTTCAAGAAGGCCAAAAGGGAAGATTCTTGCTCCCTTCCCCCAGGGAAAATATAGTAATATCTCTGAGCAATGGATAACAAAAATCAGCTGGTACGCCTCCAGTCCCTGTGCCTCAGGAGGCTGAGGTGGGAGGATTGGAAGTTCAGAGTGAGCCTCAACAACTTAGGAGGCCCTAAGCAACTTAGTGAGTCCCTGTCTCAAAACAAAAAATAAAAAGGACTTAGGGTGTGGCTCAGTGGTTAATAAGTGCCCCTGGTTTCAAATCTCTGCTGGGGGGGGGGGGAAAAAAAGCCCTAAACAAACAAACAAAAACCCTCCCATATATCATCCTCATGCTCCCATCTGTTGAGTGGCTGGAATGCAAGCAGTTTTGGAGGCTCCCTTTCTTCACAATTTCTCTGTAGATTCTGCCTCACCAAGATGCCTTTTACAGTTGTTCTTAATTATAAACACATGGTTTTAAGCTTACGTAAAATATAATCCACACCCTTAGCTAACACACTTAGGGACATAACTGGGGGAAGGAACTCAAAGAAATGATGATAGCTACTTTTGAACACTTACATCTCAATACATGCAATCCTCAGGGTCACCATCTAAACTATTATCATCCTCCTTTTCCAGATGAGATAAATGAGGCTTGGAGAAGTTAGTTGAGGTATGAAACCCTGGAGTTCTGAGAATTTTCCTCATGGAAAAATTTCCCATGCACATGGCTCCAGATATTCCTCCATCCTCTTTGTAAGATCAGGCACTGGTGACCAAAAGGAGGCAGATTAAAAGTTGCTGAATGAGACTTTATTGAGATTCACTCCCAGGAGAGACCCTCCAGACCAACAGAGCAGGTACAGGGAATTGTGCTGGGCTCAGCTTAGGGCAGAAAGGGAGGGCTTGAGACAGGACAAGGAAGGCTTGGGAAAGGAAAGGGAGGTTTTTAGAGTCCCTTGTCCTACTGGGGTTGGTCAGGGGAGCTTGCTGAGATCCAGGATTGGTTAGGAGAGACCCTGCTGATTGACAGGCGGTTCTGTTGGTGCCTGATTGGTGGTTCTTTCGCACACGGGTTGCTTGGTGCTTTGTTCCTCAGCCACCTCAAACCAACCTAACACTCTTCTCCACGGATCTTAGCCCCTAAATATTCCTCCCATCCAGTCTGTATATCCAAATTGCCCAATGGCTGCTAACTCACAACAAAAATTCCTCCCTCTTCCAAGAGTCTTTGTGACAAAATGTTCACCAAACTAGCTGACTTTAGGCTGACACTCCCTTCTCCACTCTGGCTAAAGTTCTTGTTCCTTCCTTCCCCAGATAGACTATTCCTTAGATCCTTCTGGAATTTTCTCAGACCTCACATTTCACAATAAAATCTAGGCTAATGATGTTTTTGGTTAATTTTTCTTTTTTACATTAATTTCCTCAAAGTTACATAGCTAGGAAGTAGTAGAGCTTGAATTTAGACTCTTAATTTCTCAATTGCTACATTATACTGGTATTTTTTTTTTTTTTTGTAGGTACTGGTATTGAATCCAGAGGCATTTTACCACTGAGCTACCTTCCCAGCACTATTTACTTTTTATTTTGAGAGAAGGTCTCACTAAGTTTCTTAGGGCCTCACTGAATTGCTGAGGCTGGCCTCAAATGTGTGATCCTCCTACCTCAGACTTCCAAGTTGCAGGTATTACAGGCCTGTGCCACTGCATCCTGCTATATTGGTAATTTTCAACTATAAATGTTACTGGTTGAGTTGTTTATTTGCAACTTGAAATGTCTTTTGTCATCAAAGCCATTCTACTCTCTGAAGTTGTTATAACCACCCTGAATCTGCCATGTCGAGGAAAAAAAGTAATTATCAAAGACTAGTAGGAAAGAAGTATATTTTGGTAGAGTGACCACACAATGTATTAATTAGGCAACTAGAAGGCAGGAGAGTGAAAAGAAGCCATTAAAAACCACTAGTACAGGGCTGGTGATATAGCTCAGCTGGTAGAGTGCTTCCCTTGCATGCACAAGGCCCTAGGTTCAATGCCCAGCACCACACTAAATAAATAAGCAAATAAATAAATACCACTAAGATAATAGGTATACGCTAGGGTTGTCTACTTTATGGATGACCAGGCCAATTTTCCCACAGATTAAAAACACTTCCAAATATCTATGTCTGTTAACTTGTTCTTTAATTTCCAAGGCTTGATCAAATATAATTATTGCTCATAATTCTATATAAATTATATGTGGGTTTTCTACCTGTTGTTATAATTAATTTATTCATACATTCAAAAAATATTTATTGCGCACCCAATGTAGGAGAGCCATTGGTCTAGGCTGAGATGGCAAAACCAGACCTGGTTATAAAATGAAATTACAAGAACTTTATTTGAGAAACAAATGCCTGGGGAAAGAATCAGTTCTCCTCCCCTTTTGAGAACCTTTCTTCAGGAAACCTAACTAACCTGGGGCAACAACCTTTTGGATTGTAACTAACAGTCTCTAAGAGTCTGACTTCACCCTTTTGGAATGTAAACACCCCTGTGTGAGGCTTTCAAGGATAGAGATTTCTCTGATGCTTGTGAAAACAGCCAGTTTCTCTTATCTCTGTATTTTTGCTTCTGTAAACACACTTTCTGCTGGAAACCCCCGGCAAGGCCTTCAGTCACATACCAAAAATTTTATGACACTAAATAGCCCATAAGTGTTGTGAGAAACTGAGAAACTGATGTGACTCCATTTTGAAAAACCAGCCTCTACCTCAGAGCAGAGCCTGTCTAAAGGGGACATGACCCTTATTCTTGGAAAACCTTCCTAGGCACTAGCCACCCTGCTGAGTTGTTTGTCTGTAAATAAACAGGAGAGATCTGCAGCACCAGGTGTCCCTGACTCAGCAAGGCTAGTTCCTGGAAAGACCAAAGAATGTTCGAGGCATAAGGCCTGATGTGATGACCCCCACCTCCCAGTAGTTTCCGTGATTGATAACATATTAGAAAATCGGGTAGTTTAGCACATACACCCCTCATGGCTTAAACCAATCAGTTCAAATGTATCTACCTCTTGAACTAACCAATCACCGTTACCCAACTTGTTCCCGCCAATGAATTTGCTAATCAATGTTAAGAGTTGTTGTTTGATTTTTCCGTGGTATGAAATGATTTGCTGTGTGATGTTGTGACACATAGAATATCCCCCAAAACCTATAAAATTTCACTGAACAAAGGACTGGGACTCACTCCTCGGAACCGCGGTGTCAGAAATGGTTGTGAGTCCAGACTCGAGCTTGCAATAAAAACTCATGTGTGCTTGCGTTGGATTCAGATCCTGGAGGTCTTTCAGGAGCCCTAAAATTTGGCATTACAAAACTATGGATCAGAGTCCAGAATTTGGAGCAGAGACTCCTCTGGGCCAGTGGCATTATAAGGTTGAGCTCTCCCACTCTCTGTCTGATGCTTGGTGCTTCCCAACCAGTCTGATTCTTGCAACATTTTGATTCCCTGACCAGGAAGCGAAAACTATGCTGGAACTTTGAACACCCATGCAGTGGGCCACTTACGCTGGAGTGAGCAGTGCCCCTCAAATCTAACAAAATGATGCTACTAACAGTTTCGAGATCTTCTTTGCTTGGGGGACCTGCACCTATGCTGTAGCGACCATCAGCTGGACTCCCTGGGGAGTCAGACCAACTCCTGCACAATCATTAGGATAAAGGTAAAATCCCAGGACCCAGGACCTCAATCAAGCCTGTCCATAGGACAGAAGGGGAGCTTGATCACCTACCAAGGATACCCACAAGGGGGCCATCAGTATCAGGGATTTCCAAAGGGGGGAAGTAATGTTTTAAACTCCTGAGTGACTGCAAAACTGTTTGTGACTCCATGGCTTTGTGCTATGGAGTCTGTGTCAGCCCTAACCTGTGGTTCCATGGTGACTTCCAACGGCATAACAGTGATTCACATCCTGTAATAGAACTTTTGACCAGAATTAACTCCCAGAAAACTCCAGATTTTCTATGAAATAAATGGCCTTCATTCAGAGTAGGTTGACCCTCTGAGGGGTCAATTAATAAAGAGCTACATGAGCAAGTACCCAAATTAGGTTGAGACCAGAGGAGAAGGGAAATGTCACTTTTAACTGGAAGCTGCTGTGGGACACAGATGGTTGTTTGATTTGTTCTTGTGCTCTAGGATTCTGCCATGTTCCTCCCTAATGCTAGAAAACAAGAGAAACAAATGGGGGGGGGGTGCGGTCTAAAGGCCAACTAGACCAGGTCCTGGACATTTTAAGGAAGCTTGGAGGTCCACATTCTGCTTTTGGGACAATATAGGAATTGCCCCAATTGCAGAAATTAACTCTGCAATTTTCTGCAAATTCTTGATAGGAGAGCCTGATGGAGCCAGGAATATCAGGAGACACCCTACTTCCTGTGGTTTTTTCCTGTTTGCTCCAGGTGGGCATGAAAGGAAAGTGACCATGACACTTGGAGCGACCAAGAGATCTTTACTATGGCAGTGTCTGATTGACAGGGAAGAAAGAGAGAGAGAGAGAGAGAGAGAGAGAGAGAGAGAGAGAGAGAGAGAGAGAGAGAGAGAGGGGGGGGAGAAGAAAGAGGGGGGCAGAGAGAGAGAGTTTGTGTGTGTTCTGGCAGGAGAAGGTCTTATATCCCTTTTGCTGTGCTGTTTAAGTCTAACAGGGTCTCTGGGTCTGCCATCTGCCTTCTTGGCATATAATGATTGGATCACACAGTAGTTGCTAAGGGTGTCATCTTCTGCCTTCAGGCAGACTGGGCAGGGACCAGATGTGGGTTTCCATTGCACCAGATGGGTGAGGGTTGAGTCTTCAGCCTTGAGTGGGGTTGAATGTTTGTGGGAGGCCAACCTTACACGTGACTGAGTTACACTCCCCAGCTGGGTGCTGAGGCTCTCAGTCACAGAAATGTGGCACCCTTCTTGGGTGCGAGGGTCAGTGTCTCATGCGTGGGTGTGTCTTGCTACAGCCCCATCGGTGAAGCTATGCTCACCAGTTCCTTTATAATATAATCCCTTGCCCTGTTTAGGATAGAATCTTCCATGGAAGTGCCTTGTGTGTGTCCCCTTCTCTTACTGTGCCCTTGGGTGTGGCCTACCCAGGTGTCAGTCAACCTGCTGACATCGGACATCATGAAGATACTCAGCCCCCTGAAACCTGACCCCTTGGCTCATTTGAATAGCTTCCCTCAATAAAAGGGGTCAGAGTGTGCTCTCGCTCTCTCCCTCTTTCTGCAGATCCTTAAGGTCAGAGGAGCCATCACAGTGACCCCAAAGAAAAAGGTATTTGTGTCTCTTGTGTGGTTATTTCGTGCAGCCCAGTTAGCCCAGTTTAACTGGAGTGACCCCTGAGCCTTTTAATCGCGAGAACAGAAACCCGGCAAATGTTCAGACTTAGGACAAACAAACATAAGGAACCAGATGGGTAAGGGTCGAGTGGTCAGCCCACCCTGCAGCTTAATTCCAAGGGGGGAATTAAGCCTTTACTCAGAAACACAAGACCACACTCAGGAGAGCAGGATGGGGAAGAGTACAAGAAAATACCTGTTGGGGGATGAGCTTCTAGATTAAAACAAAAACAAAAACAGAAACTCTAGTCTAGAGAAAGAGGATGCCAGCAAGGGAAAAGACACCAAAATTACCCCAGATGGCCTCTGAGCCTTATGTTAGAAAGAGTCCTAGAATAAAAGGGAAAAGTACTCAAAAGATGATAAAATACTGATTTTATTTGGACTCAGGAAGCTATCCTAAAGCATTCAGTATTTCTGACTTAAACTTGAGGTCCCCCAAGCTCCCTGACTTCTGCCTCCAGGAGTGATGTCAACAAGATGGAGGAAAGGAAATCTGAGCCAGTTGTGGTGGCTCCCATTTCTTCACCTGCCCTTTATCCTTCACTATCCAAACAATTTTCAGTCCACATGACTTAAACATTTAAGAAAAAGTTCAACTTAAATTGGTTAAATGTCCCGTCCGACAGGACACATCAACGTGGGCAGCGAACCTAGATGGGGAGGAATGAAGGGACAAGAGACACAGAAGGATGACAGCAAGACAAAAGTTCTGATCAAGCTACAAACTTTTATTGTTCACACAGGGGTATTTATATGGTGGGAATGGGGAAGCTCTCTTATCGGCAGTTGCTGGATGTCTGCACAAGGTGAGATAACCGCAGGATGTTTCAGGAAGATAGGTTTCAGGAAGATAGGTGGCCGCAGGATGTCTCAGGTGAGATAAGTAGCTGCAGGATGCCTCCCAGGCAGGATGTCTCCCAGGGGGCTGTCAGGCTAATCTTTGAAGGAGAATTTCCTTCTAGTCCCTGACAGTTAAATAGATAAGAGTCAAAGATTGCTTTGTTTCTGGGTCTTTACTAAAAGCAAATTTACTAAGAGTTAAAATTTCAACAGGTATAATCCTATATACAAAAAGTACAAAAAGTTTCAGTGGTGTAAATAACAAGTATTTCATCTTATTAAAATTGGGTAATTAGAAAAATTTATAAAGATTATTTCAGAATGTAAAGTTAAGAAAAGGTGGACAACTAGGAAAGAGATAAGAAATTTCTAGATATCAAAATATATTTTAGTATGAAAAATTTGAAAGAAAAAGAAATATATCTGGATGAGTAAGTTTTTGTATGATGAAGTAAACAAATAGTAGAGTAAGTTACACAAGGTTTGTGGAGGGTAAATCTTAAAAGGTTTGTGTGTGATTAAGGTGGATATAATTAGCACAATCAGTTGAAATTATTTAAGCTTCCCCCCCATGATCAAATATTTAAAATACTGGTATAAACCAAAATCTAATTCTCTATGTGTTAAAAAAACAAGTGTTTTTTAAATCATTAATCTGCTCTTATCTATCAAGATAATTTGTTGCATATGTTAGGTTTTATTACTTAGGAGAATTAATCTTAAAGGGATTAAGGTTTGTACACTCTGCTTAAACAAACAACTGTTATTTTAGATTATTACACTACACTACAGATTCTAAATTTTTCTTAAAAGTTAAACTTGGTTAATACAAGGACATCAGTGTAATTGTGATGCTGTAACTGACTTCTTTACATATTAGATGTATTCATGTCCTTCAAGGATACATGTCTTTGAAATATAAGGTTTAGAACACTTTATTAAGCTGATAGTCTATAAACTAAAGTTTTCTGTAGCAATAGTCTCTTTCAGATATATAAAAATAACAAAGTTAGTTAGAAATTTATTTATGTCACTTAATATTTTCTAATTGGATAAAAATAACCTGTCAGCAATAAGTTATATGTAAAATTTTGTGTTACTCTTTACTCTGGGATATGAACTTGAATGAATTTTTGGAAGGTAATAAAGAGAGCCTCATTTATTAAAGGTTGACAATTTGAGGTATAAAGACATTTTGCCACTTCCCACAAAAGAGGTTAAAATCTCTCTTAGCTTGTTTGATTCATGTTTCAGATGTAATGTTGTATTATGTTAACTGATATTCATATAGACTCAGGAAACAATATATGAGAACTTTACAAAATAATATTTAAGAAAAAGGCAAAGATCAGCTTCAGAAATAAAACAATTTACCTAAAATTTTTCAAGAGGCCACAACTGCACCTGACTTAAGACTGCCTTCACCTTATTCCATGTTAGGATAAACACTTAAGTTCATTTGAAGTTCAAAAGATAGATTTTTTATTATAAGGATTACTGTTATCTTAAGTAGGGAATATAATATCTAGCTAAGTAAAGGTTTGGGATTATAAAAATTATGTTTATTGGTTCATAGCTATTATACAAACTAAATAGATTTTTACTCTTATTAACTTCATTTTGTATTTTCCTTGTAAACTTTATAACTATTGTCTGTCAGTGCCTTGCAGAAGCACAACTTCTGCTCACCCCTTTAAACCAGGAGTTAATTGAGATAACAAGCCATCTCTTACAGGTTAGATAAAGTATATGGCTGCAAAATTGTAGACATTAGAGTTAAAATCCACTACTCCTACTTTAAGACTGGTGAAACTGCCGTGCTAGATGTTTAAAACCAAACTTTGGAGACTAAAGTTAAGAAAATAAAAGGGCCAAGGAAAATAGCCAATTTTTTTCTCTTTTCCAATGAGGTCAACTTGGATCCAGGGAACAAGAGGATTTCCCTAAGGCCTTTACAATTTTGGGCCACATAACCTCCCAATCAGGAGAATCAATGGGACCCTAGAAAACAGGAACCCAACCAGTGCACATGCTGCACAAAGTCACACATGGTCATCAAAACCTTGATCTATCCTAGCAGATGGCGCTAAAGAAGCTCAGAGGCTTCTCACAAGTTCCCAAGAATGACCTCCTGAGGAATTTCAGCTAATTCTTGACAGTAGATAGGGACAAGGTCAATTCTGACCACTTTGGTCTTAAACACCTGGCAGGAGAGTTATAACCAAAGAACAGCTGCATATAGGCCAGTGTTATGGCTAAGGTGGTAAAATTGGTGACAAAGGGGGTGAAGATCACCTAGAAGTTACAACCAAGGAAACTGTATCAGGAAACCCACCTATACTGGATCAAGTGTTGCCAAATTGCTTTGTTAATAATTAGGTCTAGAGGGGTGGGAGGGGAAGAGAGGGAGCAGGGGGTTAGCAATGATGGTGAAATGTGATGGACATCATTATCCAAAGTACACGTATTGAAAAACCAGCCTCTACCTCAGAGCAAAGCCTGTCCAAGGAAGGGGGCATGACCTTTGTCCTTGGAAAGACCCACAGAGAACTCCTAGGCACATACCCACCCTGCTAAGTTGTTTATCTACAAATAACAGGAGAGATCTGCAGTGCCAGGTGTCCCTGACTCAAGTCAGGCTAGGTGGTGACCCATAGCAATCCCCTAGCTGCCACCAATCAGCATGAGACAGGGAAATACCTGGGATGCCAAATGACCCTCCCAATAGTTTATGGTGATTGATAACATGTTGGGAAACCATGTAGTTCAGCACGTACACCCCTCTTGGCTTAAACCAATCAGTTCAAATGAATCTCCCTCTTGTAGTAACCAATCACCTCTACCCAACTTGTTCCCATCGGTGAATGTGCTAATCATGTTTTAGAGTTGTTTTATGATTTTCCCGCGGTGTGTGATGATTTGCTAAGAGATGCTATGATGTATGTGAAGTCCCTGCCTTCCCCAAAGAAACCCTGGGCTCAGGGCTCTCAGTGTCACCAGTTGCTGTGTATAGGTGGAGGACCAAGCTAGCTTGCAATAAACATCTCTTTGCTGCTTACATCGATCTTGGTCTTGGTGGTCTTTTGGGGGTCCCAAGTTTGAGCATAACAGTATGAAGACATGAATTGGTGTGAACATACTTTATATAAAGAGATATGAAAAATTGTTTTCTATATGTGTAATAAGAATTGTGATGCATTCCATTGTCTTGTATTTAAAAAATAAAAGCAATTAACACCCCCCCCCCCCAAAAAAAATTAGGTCTAACCCTATTAGACTGACAGTATTCTCCCCATATGAGATTATTTATGGATGCTTTTCTCCCATTATAACAGGTATATAAGAAGATCTGAAAATTGAACAGCATTACACCCACCCCTTTAAACCTGGAGATACTATTTGGGCAAAAGAATAAAATATCCAATGCCTAAAGCCTCTTTGGAGAGGTCAGTTCACTATCATTTTATCCACCACTACTGTAGTGATGAAGATGGTCAAGGTGGCCCCTTTGATTCAGCAGGGTAAAACCAGACTCTTACAGTTGGGAGTACATTCTTGATCCAGATGCACCATGCAAGTTGAACATCCAAAATAAACAAGCTGCATTCTGGAGATCCCCAAAGACAACAGTCCTGCTTTAGTCACTCCAGAAGCTGACTAATCTATTCATGACAGAAGTTTGAGGAGCAGACTGGTAACTGCAATGGACTATAATTTTTGGTCTATTTAGTGTGAGGCTCCTTATAGCACTTCTGTTTGGTTCCTGCATCCCTTTTTTTTTTTTTTTTTTTAATTTTCTTTAAAGTTGTTGATGGACTTTTATTTTGTTTATTTATATGTGTTGCGGAGAATCAAACCCAGTGCCTCACACATGTGAGGCAAGTGCTCTACCACTGAGCCACGACCCCAGCCCTGTTCCTGCATCCTTAACATACCATTTACTCCTCCAGCCTAGAGGCTATACAGTTCCAAATGGTTCTCCAGATTTACCAGCAGCTTAACTTAAGAGTCCATAAGGTTAAGAGTGCATCAATGGGGGTGGGTGGGGGTGGGATGAGATGGCAAAACCAGACCCAGTTGTA